AGTCGGAGCGTTTATCGCATTTTTCCATCGGTCGATTCGTATCCGCCGTCTCGAGATCATGTAATCCAGTGAAACGGGAATTACCGTCGGCTCGAAACGCCCGCGGCGTCTCTTCGTGGCTTGTATAACTAATCTTCATGGTCCGTGACCTACCGCAAGAAGTTCTCTGCCATGGTCGGCTGGAATTAACGCTTGCCGCGGTCGCAGTTAGCCTTGCTATTGTTCCTTGTCGCTGGTGACCCTCCTGCTTAGCCAATGAAGCCGTCGACAGGTTTCAACTTCTAGCTGACTATCGACCCTGATAAAAGTCGCGTGCCGCGCGATCGATTAGCCACCGATAGAAGCAATATTTCATTTCCGACGTAGCCGCGATCTATGCCTACCGTCGGCCTATGCAAATTAACAATAATTGCCTGGTTGCTCGCGTGTAATTCGTGGACATATCAGCCCCAGTTCTCTGGTCCAAAGGGGTGAAAAACAATAGTCGAAGAGCAACGGAATACCAGGACTCGATACTTTGGAGGAACGAAACGGGGACCAGTTTCCAGACAAAGGAAATCGCAGACGGGCGACAGACAACGTGTCGACGTGCACATGTGCAATATTGTACGCGATAAATATACGTGAGAAATTTCATTGAAAGCGTACACACCCATTTCAATAGGCCATCGAACATTCGGACAACGTATTTCCAGATTAGGGCGCGGTATGCGTGCGAAACGGACTCTAATATTACTCATACATAGTTATATCAGACGTTTAACGAGACTGGAGGCAATTAGAAACGCCATAAACCAGATACTATCATCCATTACTCATGGTCCAGCGTCTGTACTGACCTCTTATCGACGCGTTAACTCGCAAACTCCTTCGGTCAAGATCCTAGGTAGATAATTCACGAGGTGCAATTACTATCGTGACGAAAAGATCGATTACGGTTACGGTATCTTTAAAGGAACGTAATCTTTAGTACTCTTGACACTCATTGGGGGGATTTTATCTGTCACGCGTGAAACTTTGTACCTGTAAATGATCAATTCATTACGAACGTGCTCCAAATCCTTTGGTTAAAGTTTCAGGCGACTTTAAGGGTAGTTTTTAACCATGTATCGATTTGGATAGGTGATGTTTCTTGCAAAAGCGAGGTCGTCGCGAGGGACACGCTGCAAACGCAGGTAGGTGGTCCTAAAAAGCGTCGAATTGGTAAAACAAGTACCTAGCATTAATCACCGGTCAGTCTTTGTCCGCGAATTTTTTCAACTTTCACCGATATGGAGCTTAATGCGTCCATGACGCAGCTAGAACCAGTTCCCCAGAATTTTTCAGACCTGTCTGATTCAGCAGAATAATATCTGAAGTTGCCTATCGCGTGGGTACCACGTTTGGTCACGTTAATTTCGTAGTCTTCTAACAAAGGATTCTGTCGAGAAACGAATTTTGGACGAAGAGCACCGAAGTCAAGGGAGATTACGTTGACGAATGGGAACAATTTGAAACTAACAATTGACGTTTTTAAGCTATTTTTAAGCCGCAGAATTTTTCAAATTGCCCTCGTAGGATTAATTCTGACTGCGGTTTCCCTGGACGAAAGAAACGGAAGCAGGAAAAGGGAAGAAAGGACGAGGGCAAGGATTATTTTGGTAACCTGAATACGCTCGCGTAACAAACGACCGAGAAGCTTTACACGCGCGTTACTTCATCTTACGTAAGGCGGATCTTGATAGCAACGCGGCACAGTTACTGTTTTCACCCAGCGTACCGCTGGCAGAAAGTGAGAGCTGAAAAAGGATCAAGAGGAATTCGTCCTTTTATTCTCCGAGCCGCCTGTCGACTTCCTGCATTTGGTCCCGAATTGCGTTCCAATGTTTACATCGAACGGGTTTCAGGTTTCACAATTGAAATCACAGATAAATATTATTTTAGTAGCAATTTGTCTTGAACTTGATTGATGCAATGACATAAGTCATACATCCTGCTAAAAAGAACCGTATCTTTATGCGCCCGTTAATACAACCGTTTAAATAGAAATACGTGTGCAAACAACGCCCGTAAATCTGCTGTAAAATGTAGTCTCGAAGGCGATTAGACGCGGTCATTTTCGTTTGTTGCAATTTGCAACGCCCGGTTAGAGTGCTGCATATATCGTGTGACGGATGAGAAACACCGTTCTAGTTGGTTGACCCGGCGATACGATCTTTTCTGGTCGAAGTCGTGCAGAGGAGAAGCTGGAGGCACGACTCCAAAGTGGCCAATACCATTGACGTCAATATAGCTAGCACGATATTGAAATCTCAAACCCGTTTTCTAGATCGATGGTTGTTCTCGCGTGGGGTCTCGAAACAGAGTCGTACGGAACGCTCGTACGAGATTGCGCGCGGAAAAAGGGTGAACCGGACAGGGATCGAGATCTGCATTGGTACCGTGGATCTAAAAAGCTTGGCTGATTTACCTTCCTGTTCACCTCCGATCTAAACGACGAAATAAAATTTAAACTCTCGATAAACGACGATAGATCTTCATCCGACCGCTTAAGGGATGAGAATAATTGCTTTCCTTCGCATTCTACGTTTCGGTTACCGCTTTAACAAGAAGGGGAAATAAAAGTCGACGGTCGTTGTTCCATAGTTGGTCAAAAGAAAAAAACAAAGAAAGATAATAAATTCCACGCATACGGGAGAGCACGCACTAATTACGAATGCGGTAGGCAATTCGTTAAAAGCGTTCGAGCCGCAAGAGCAATTAAACGCCAACAATCGTGAGTCACGCACGCACCAGCAACGCGAGGAATTTTGCAATAAGGAACACGTCTCTATCGCGCACGTAAAACGCGGTATAAGTTCCTGAAGGTTCGGTAAATTGATAGCTTAGAACCGCGCGAGTCTTGTAAAATAAATCAACTACTGGAAACGCGTTGCATATAGTAATTAAATAACGTTGGAGGCAACATCGAGGCTGGACTATTACGCAAAACTCGTGCCACGGGAATATTTTCGTAGCAGGGATTTATTGACATAACCGTGATCCTTTCGAGAGTGACGAACTCCTGACGAATTGAATTTGGAATAGAAAATTTTTTGATAGAAATTAACGATGTCGCGGTCTTTATCAAAGGATATGTTAGTTTAATGAATTACGAAACGCAGTTATGATGGAAAGGTGTGCGACAGGGATAAGAAGCGTGTCCTCGAGAAACGAGAAAAATGCTAGGGAATAACTAACACGATCGGTTTTACGACCAGCAACGAACAGGCGCGGATTGACAGAATGGAACTATAATCGATTCTGATTTGCGTTTCATTCGCGTCATAGAAATCTCGCTTGTGAAACGTCGATCTGCGTGCAGATCGACGAGATCGCGACCGATAGGGCTACGAGCCACCCGTTTCGTTCTTTAATCAACCAGGCAGGTGTTCGAAACTCTATTACGTCACGCTTTCTAAGTCTTCGGGTCACCGATGGCTAACGTTTGTTTCTTTTTCGTTCGTTCTGAAACACTGCCGCACAACGACAATCGCAATTAACAAACAATGACGAACCACCCGTCGATCGACAGTCGCGATAAGCGTTGAAAAGTTGCTTGTCGATAATTGAGCCGTCGAGTTTCGATACCAGCCACCGTGATCAAATCGTCCCACGCAATTTGGAGAAATTGAACGTGTACTGTTTCGTTCGACCCCTCGGTTCAGACTTTCCAGGGAAAGTAAAGAAACTATCGATCCGTTTATTAATCTTTGTTAATGTTTATTATGCATTGCGGCAAAGTGGGAATATTACTTAGTCTCCGCGTTTCCGCGACACGAACTCGAAACTGGAAAATCTCCTGGTGATTGGAAAACGAAATGAGGAAATATCTCCCGAACACGCTCGTAAAGATCTATGAATATAAAATTCCCCACTCTCGCGTTCCGTGAACATAGTCGCGTTCTTGTATCCAGGAGGATTGCATAATTTCGTCGCGATACCCTGTACGCGTCTCCGACTTTGCACGATCAATTACAACGGTCGATTAATTATAGAGTATAAATATTCGAATTTGCAGCGTTTAAATATCGATCATATGTGCGTTAAAATATTGCAACAGTTCCAACCCTGGTCGCAATTATTGCAAATCTGCCTTTCACGGTCACTAAAACTGATCGATCGATCTGCCACCCATTTTTAGGAAATAAACAGAATCTACAACTATCGTGACATCTCAACAAGTAATAAATAAAACTGTATCCTGTCAAAAATAATGCCTGTACTTCTCTCCTCGACGTTCCGTTCACATACTCTTCAGGCGGGAAACTAGGAATCATAAACGATCGAATCATTAAAAAAATAAATTTTTATTACCTCCGGAAAAACGAGTTCCTATTGCCAAACAACATCTACACTTTCTACCGACTCTTTCGAAACGTCACAACGGTTGCAAACCTCCAATTTGCGGTCACTATAAACGATCGATCGAGTTCGACTCGTCCTGTGGATGAATTTCCTCTGAAAATCTTTCGACGAGACGTTTCGTTCACCGCGCGCACGAGTACGGATCGTCACAAAAAGGATGTTCCAGCCGCAGAGAGGAGCGTTTTCGTGCCTCTGGAGGTCCCACGATCGCGAGTTTCCTCTCGAAATGCCGCGTGCTCTTCGAGTCTCCTCGTTAGAGTCGCGAAGCTCGATCTATCCACGAGTCGGGCATATGTATCTGCATATAGTGCCCCGCGCTCTATTTACTTAGCCCCGACTGCCCGGCGCACGTTTAACGTGTTATACAACCTCGAGTGTACATTATGTATTATAATGTGTAACGAGTATGTGGCCGTATGGGATCGTGAGTAAATAGTGTACGGTAGGTGTGGCGATAGAACACCGAACGGCCATTGGCTTTCCATTGGCGGGGTGCACGCCGCGAATGAAAGTGAATTCCCTATATAAAGGGTGGTTTTCCTCCAATGCGACAGAACACGATTTAATTCATCGAGCCAGGACACGCTAACCAAAGTATTAACCTATCGGCCAACATGAGGATCTTGGTACGTCTAACGTTAAGTCCGAGTCCTAACTTCTTGACGTAAACTTCGACAAAATTTACTTTTGCCTTTTCGAAGCTGATCCGACGCTTCGTCAAGACCGACGATCGTTGCCTTAAGAAGATTTCTGTCGAAATTTAAAAATAGGAAAGGGTTCTCTAACGGACCCAACGTTAAGGGAACCATCGTGCGCTAATCTCTTGCGTTTCTCGCCGAAGGTATGCTTGTTGCTCATCTCCGCGGTGTTTGCCGAAGAGGCTGAAAAAAGCAAAGACAAAGCCGCGGTCCAGAAACGTGGCCTGACTGGTCTTGGCTGGGGTGGATGGAGCGGACTGGGTCTGGGTGGATGGGCCGGTGATGTAGGACACGGAGGACATGTCGCGGTCGCTGTTCAACAAAAGACTGTCGCGGTTCCAGTTCCGGTACCGCAACCGTACCCAGTCGCTGTAGACCGACCAGTCCCGGTTAAGGTGAGAAGAACACGCATGAAGTCTACTTCGAGCTCACGGTTACAAAACTCGACGCGCTCTATTAACTTGGTATCTTTCCGATAATTCGCAACGTTTCCAGAAATTCTCGTTAACCGTTCGATCTAGACGCAATCTAGAATCCAGGGACCATTTTCTAATCTTTGAGTTTCCGTACAAAACATTACTCTTTGCATAATTTACATCGTTTTACTCAAATTTTCTTCCTAATCTAAACAAGAAAGAAGGTGTATCGTGATTTAGGAACACAGGGAAGTTAACTTTGTTGCACCATGTTTTCTTCAGGTGCCAGTTGCGGTCCCACATCCAGTTCCGGTACCAGTTCCGGTTCTTAAGCCATACCCAGTGGTCCAGACCCAGACCGTCCATGTTCCAGTCGACAGACCAGTGCCAGTTTCGGTTCCAGTGAAGGTGGCAGTGCCTGTGCCCGCCCCGTACCCCGTGAAGGTGAGTCAAAATGTTCAATCCTCGTTGCAAGTACTATTGCACTTGGGAATATTGAATATCGAAGGAAATTATTCACTAATTAATTGATTTGTTTCTGATTTGCAGGTCGCCGTGCCCCAACCTGTTGCGGTCCCGGTCCCCCATGCAGTTCCAGTTCCGGTTCCACAGCCCGTCGTCGTTAAGGAATCGGTTCCCGTTGTCGTTCAAGCTCACGGTCACGGTCTTGGATACGGCGGACACTACTAGATGAATTTATCCCACAACATGCCACCATCAACCCATGTCCTCACCCTAGCCACCCCCGCAGCATCGCAAAAAGACATCGTAACGAGCGCCGTACCAAAACAATTTCTCCTTCTACCGTAGCAAATACGATTCGTGAAATAAATTGATTTTATAAATGTTTTCTAAAGAAATGTCTGTCATTCTCTTCCCACCGCTCCCTAAATCTCAATACTCTAACTACTAAGATATTTACAGTAAACGTGAACCTAGAAGAATATTTATATTTTTGAGCTCGAAAAGAGTGAATAAGGACCTGAGATTCTTCGAAACCAGTGCTGTTCTAGAGTGATAAATTCACGGGGGAACGGGACTGACGCAACAGGGATACACGAAATCCTAAGACGCGAACACGAACACGAACACGAACACCTCGGTTGATCGTAAAATCGGATTACCGGACTGTCGTGCAATACGCCGGTCTTTGCGGGAACAGAGCTGGTATTAATTATGTACGAAGCGTTTCGACATATCCTCGCGCGACAAGATATTACTATAGGTTCACGAGTGCTATCTGATCCCTCATTGTGCAGAAACTACCCACGACGTTCCCTCGTCGGAACCTTGACTGCGATTTCGCGCGATCTGGGAAACGTATCTACGATTCGAAATTTCTTCGGGATCTCACGGAGTACGCGGAATGCGTGTCACACCGTGAACTTTCCACCGAGTTTTCCTGCGATCCGCGCGCGTAAATAGACAAGGGGGCTTTTTATAATCGCGAACAAAAGCGAAGGATCGTCCCTGAAAGCGGCTCCCGACCGTGTACGGCGAACTTTTCACTTAATTGTTCCTGACGAATTCAGGTTTCTTCGAGGGAAACGCACCAGACGCGTTAAGAGGAACGTTTATCCGAAACAGGAGGGAAACAATCGAAAATTGGTACAATCTGATGTGTTACGTTGGTTCGATAAGACGAGACATGACTTGTCTTCCTCTAAGTCTCATCCAACCCTGATCAGCGACGCGTCTGGTAAAAGAAACATACAATGTTCAGCGAAAATAAAATAGAAAAAAAACGCGATAATGTGAAAGTTGGAAAGGAAGAAAGAGTCACAAACAACGATTGGCGAAATCTTTGATGCGAATGGACCAATCGTGGAAATTTACGATGGATCGGGAGTCATTTAACCGAGTCTTGACAACTCTTTCCATATTATCGAGAGAACGTTGGACGTAGAACGCGTGCCGTCTGGCTTTTTATCTTTCGCCACCTGTCACGGCCATCGAGCACTCAACTTTCTTCGATAGATTATTCAACGTGTCGCGCGGAAAACGAGATTCCGTCGCCAAAAATCGAAAGATTATACAATACGGTTTAACGTCACAGGCGCGAGCAACGCCACAATTACGCAAAGGCTACTTGAACCTCGAGTTATGAAAGTAAGTGTAACGACAAAAACAGCTCGAAACGAGTTTTTTTTTCTACGTAACTCATATCACGACACGCGAATTTCAGGTCAAATTCCGTTTGTCTGGTCACTATCGCGTGCATTTATTTTGCGACACGAGGTTGTGTTCATTTCGATGAAAACAATGAAATAAAAAACATCGACTTGCTAATTTCTTAACCGTAATCTACATGTATCGTGTGTAAACCGCTTGGTCACGGTAATCGATCAACGACGTGAATAATCGATCTTTGCAAACTTTTCCCCATATTTTTAGCAACTTATAAGCTTATGCTTACCTCTTGGACGTTGCAGAGGAATGCAACAGCCTCGGATCATCGCGCTCGAAGCTATGTTTTGCTATGGTTGTCAATAAACCGAGGTTTGCGTAATATTTGAGACATCTTAATAAAACCTAAATAACAGAGTTAATGAATTCGTGTTATAAAATTTAACGAAATACTGCGTCGCGTTGCGAAACGATACGGAACATCCGCAGTCGAATTCTGCCTACTAATTCGAAATCTGCCAAAGAATTACGATCCGAGGTGTTTCTGGTTTCACCTTATAAATGGTTAAGTGACAAGATGTGAAAACACTCGAAACATGACGAAATGAAGAGTAACGTCTGTAGCGAGGGATTACTTCACAGAAGCACATTTCGTGGAAGAAGCTCTGATTAACGCTTAAGGTTACCAAGGAAAGTTACACGAGAATCTCGTTTGCCGTGGTTCCAGGCAGGAATCTCGATCAAGTAGAAAATATTGTTGCTCGAATTCCGGATGATAACTTGAAACGTGGGATTGTCGTGGCTCGGATTCGGGAGTAAAAATAATTTATCGACGTTTACGTATTCCGGAATTTCGTGTCGATTGCTCAATTGATTTGTCATCGACGCGCGTGTAGTTTGTCGATTTAACGATATCGACGTCGACTACGCGACAAACTTGACTTTCTTTCTGGACGGAACGGAGGCCGACAAGGAGAAATCCGACGTGTAATAACAGCCCGATCATGCTCATTTTCATGACAATAAACGACGTGGACGGTGTCCTGAAGCCTGGCGACACAAGCTAACGTAAATCTTGCGTGAAATTTTGGTAGATTTCTGCACGCGACAGGTCGATCGCGAGCTACATGCAATAAACAGTTCGTGTAATCTTTTCGGTCGTTCGAGACCGAGCAAATTGCATGCTTCTCGCGTATAACGACGACTAATAAAGATATTTGAATCGTGATACATATTTGGACGTTACATCATACAGTAGCACCGTGTACTCCGGACAGTTATTATAGGAATCATAATTTTCAATACAAATACGAAGTTAAAATTATAAATATAGATTAGTAAGCGTGTTTTGCTGGAGATTTTTTCGAGACACGGAAATTCCAAAATTCCATTTATGTAACGTTTAACGTAGAACTTGAAATAATTCTTTCGCGGTGACGTCAATTTTATGCAATAATGCATTTTTTTAACGGTTTTAAAATTGAAGTAATCTTGCCTGTTGCTTCATAAATATTCACTTCCTTAATCAATGATCGGACAAGTTATGTATTTGGCATTGATCTTTGAGTCGAACTTTCCATTTGCTGATCTGAATTTGTTTTTCCAAACTGTGCAAATAACAAGAATTATATTTACTAACTATCGAACGAAGAAAACACATTTTCATTAAAGCCTATAAGCGGTTTTAGAAATCAATATTGCGCGATCAATTGCATCAAACGCTTTTCTAAAATCCATAAAGATAATATCAACATGAACGGTATGTTCAACTTCCGTAGATAAATTATTGCAAATTACGAAATTAGTCACAGTGGATCGTTCAAACGTGAAACTATGTTGAATATGTATAATATTTGTTAACGACTGACACAATTTGCTTCGAGTAACTTTTCTCCTTTTTGAATTAAACGAAAGGCTTGCAAAATCTTTAGTCGATGTTCCCTGCGTTCGATGAGTACCGAAATAAAATTGCAATTATTATTGGAGCTGTGTCTCTTCTCTTTTTGGTGACGGGGACCCATCTCAAAGGAAGGGAAAAGAACAAAGAGGGTTTCCGGTGTCGAAATCGGTCGACAAACAATTGATGCAACGCGCGGGGAGGATTCGGGGCCTCTTTCCAATCGACTATCGTCGATTAGGTGAAAGCTGTCGGGGATACAATGGGGGGCCCGTTGATCGGATGAAAACGAGCGACAACTTTGACGAAGGACGACGGAATTAAAAATACTGACGAGTACAAAGTCGCGCGAAATTGATGGACATCGCGAGTAAGCTTGAATTCCAGTCGACCTTCTTTCCCTTTCGCGATCCTACGTTACGAAGGTTGTTTCTCCGGGCGAAGGTACTCCGGAATCACGTACGTTTAGAAGAATTACACGGTCAGCCAAACTGCAATCCTAGCAGATAAATATTAATCGAGTTACTTTACTTGAGTTCCTAGATCTCTCTCTTCCTAGACGAACTCTTTTCGCGAGTATGAATTTTTATTCGCTAGATTCGTTGTTTGGCCCACTATGCGATGGCCTTGTAACACTGAGCACTGACCGCGTCGTGTTTCCAAGGGGTTAGATAGGTAAATTTATTCGGATCCAGACGATGAATCATCGACGATGACGGCAGAAAACAACAATCGACTTAATAAGAACAAGGCAAACTAGGAGGGAGGTTGTTTAGAATCCGACCAGGTCCAACTGGGAATGCAAAACGTCCTTCTAACGTAGTAGACGGGGTTTAGGTCTGGGTACCTGGTGTACAAAATCCATACAAAAAAAACCCTTTCCACCCGTGTCTCGGTCCTGACTCGTCTATTCGCCCGATCGTAACGAACTGGCATTCCTAGGTGGAGCATCCCGAGCATTATTCAGAATGACGCACACAAAGTTTCAAATTTACAACGACGATCGAGAACTATTAATTACGGACACGACACGGATCTGCTAATGTACAAGACTAGTCGTCGACCTGTCTGCTTTGGTAACGTGGGTTAAGGACGTTCGAACTAAGTATTCGCACCGTCTCGTTCGTCACGTTTTTAGACTATTTACATAGGAATCCAAAAGGATACGCCTCTTTCAATCGATTCGAAAATGCTTAATGCATGTTAAAAACATAAAGATCGATAGGATGTCAGAGCGCCGAAGAAAAAAACACTGGACGAGATCGGACAAACGAGCTCGTTCGAACGTTCTGATTTAAATAAAGTATACCTAACCCGGATCATTTAGAACACTCGAGTTTATTTTAACAAAAAAGAATCGCCAAAATGTTCTCCTTCCTTTCTGGAGTAAAGGAACAAAGCGTTAAAGAATTTGTATACTTTGATTCGTCTCCTATTGTTTATCTTCGTAATTTTCGAATATTTTCTCCCTCAACCCCGGATACTTAGGCGATCCCGTGGTCAGGGTGCGACGTCCAAGCGTGTTCACCGCCTGTCAAACAGTAACCAACGAGTAACAACGAGTCTGTACCAATATTCGCGCGATTATTACTCGTTGCAGGCGTCACCGGTACATCGGATGCACTTCGAACAGGCCAATAAAAAAAAACTGCACCGTGCTAAAGGCACCCTGACCCAGCCGAATAGATGACTGGCAACAAACTGACGACCGACGATACAAAGTATTAATCAAGAAGCGAGGGAGACGGAGGGGATATAATTCATCTTTCGCAAGAAAAAGGAGCGCGAAGAGCTTTGCCTTGGATTGCTTTTCGGGGACCCCTGCGCGCTCCCCACGCCCAATTTCTTTTCACCGTTTCTCTGGCCCGACACTGCCCACCACCTCCGTCCTGCTCAAGGGTTTCGTCCCACTGTATAAAAGCAGAGGATCTTCTTGGTATTTCATCAGTCGCAAAACCACGACGCACCAAGTCCGAATACTGCAGCACCATGAACGCCAAGGTGAGTACTCGAACTTCTTGGACACTCGGAATACTGTTGACCACCCTTTCGAACGAAGGGTTGGCAGTTTTTAAAAAGACTAATATATAACACACCCATTAACTTATTTCAATTTTGGCCTGACTCTACAGTAATTATTCGACTGCTATTTCTCGGAAAGGGTTCGTGTTGTTCGAACGCAATAAATTTTTGAATAATCTGCAATAAGTGGACCAAGAGATAGGCAAGTGATTACAAATAATACACGAAGCTAGTGAACGAAATTTCCGTAGTTTCACATAGTAAATTTTTAGGTAGAGAACTGTCTCTCGAAGGATGAGTCTTAAAGATAAGCTAATATATATGTTAATTATTTCATACCGACCGAAACCGTCCCACATTTTCAGCTCTTCATCGTTCTCGCCCTTGTGACGGTGGCTTTCGCCGAGGAGAAGAAGCCCCAAGCGGAGGAGCCGAAGAAGGACAAACGAGGAATCTACGGTCTGGGATACGGTCTGGACAATGGCCTAGGTCTGGGAAGCAGCTTAGGACTGGGTGGATACTCCAGCCTGCCATCCATCGGGATCCAGCACGGTGTTTCGACAGTCGTGACCAAGGAAGTTGCTGTTCCCGTTCCGCATCCGGTGGCCGTTCCCGTCGACAGACACGTCGCCGTCCCGGTTAAGGTAAGAGTTTACGCTCCATCTATAAAATATGAACAAACGTTTTTATCATCATCGACACACGAAATTTGACGCGCCATGGAAACAAAGGCGATTTGATCGTGGAAACGAGAGGACCTCGATCATCCAATCACGCTCTGTTTATCTCGGGATATCTGCTTGATTAGCAGGCGGAGCCTTCATCGTAAATCGTTAATTAACGTCTCAATGCGAGCGAGTACGAGGATTTCGTAATTCGGAAACGTTATAGTACGCACGGTTGCGTGTTGGCTTTCTTGAAAAACTTAGTGCACCGTTTAGATCGATTTCCATCGCGATTCTCGATCGGTAGGCTCGCTGGGAACGGATCAAATGCAATCTAGAGTTTCGAAACTTCGCGCAACTATTTTTATAATCTTTCGCAATAATTCGATTTGCAAAACCTGTAGCATGTTAATATTTATCTAACGCGTTGTCTTGCGATGTCCAGGTTCCAGTGGCCGTTCCAGTCGATCGCCCGTACCCTGTCCACGTCCCTAAACCCTACCCAGTGGAGGTGACCAGGAACGTTCCGGTTCCAGTCGACAGGCCAGTTCTCTACCCAGTCAACGTTCCAGTCAAGGTTGCAGTTCCAGCACCGTACGCCGTCAGGGTTCCCCATCCGGTTCCAGTTCCATTCGTAAAACACGTTCCGGTTCCGGTCGCACAGCCGATCGTCGTCGAGAAACAATACAGCGGCTGGGCACCATCTTACTCTTCATGGTAAACCAACAAGCATCATCGTGAACAACCGGGGAACCAATTTTCGGTCATATCACAATACGAAGCGACATCGTTGGGTTCCACCGACAGAAAAAGTTCCTGGCGACGAATCGTCTCGATGTCGACTCGGTGGAAGAATGATCGAGGACGATTCCGAACACTCCTGATAGATCAACCGTCAAACTACGATCGCAAACACCATTTCATATCTCGTTTTCGAGCAATCAGTTCATCAAAAATGGCGAGTGAATTGGTTCCCCTAACCCAGACCAGGAGACTGACGCCCCCACCTTCTGTTCTCGGTGTCCTCGAACGATATTCGACGGATATCCTTGAGAACCGAGTGAATTGAAACGAGCGTATCGCTACTGTGACATTAGATATAATTTTGTAATTGTTTAAATCCTTTTTTTTTTACGTAACTCGACGCGCGTCTTGCATCACTGAAATAAAGATCTTTTTTCGTACGAAAACCGGTCGTTCTTTATTTGCCTTGAAACCATTTTAAAAATACATTTGTAACGTTGTTTATGTCTAGAGAGACATGATCTACGTTACCAAGAACTTGAACAAGCAAACTAAGTTACATAGAACCTTACTCCCAAGTGTGGTATCTGAATATTTTGAATACTTTTAAAGTGGCCAATGAGCTAGATAGAGTAACAGCTAGCTGATCAGTTAACGCTAGTTCAAGAGATCATCCGGTATCGTGCAGCCGCAACAAGGTGGCGAACCGTCGAGTTCCCTTTTACTATACCTGGACAAGGTGCGAACGTTCACTGCAATTTTCCCCACCGTATGTGGATCGAAAATAGCTCGACTATCAAATATAGTTTGCGCGGACATTGAATCATGCGCGTGACTCATCAAACCGTGACACCATAATTTACTTTCCATTCCATCGAAGCATGAAAAACCGTTCGACGTATGGGCAGCATCTTTTTTCCTAACACTAGCAAATCTTACTGGGATTTTCTCGCGTACAATGAATTGTCAAAGCACGACGAGGAATACAGGTGTTTCAAACATACATCTAAACACTTAAATTAAGTAAAAAGTGTCCTACAATGGCGAGGATATGAATAGGGAAAAACATTTTCTTTTAAAGACGATCGACGTTAAAAGAATCAACCAACGTGCAGGATCAGGAGGGGGTTTGGATGCAAACCATACGAGTTTAACCAACCTTCCAGCTAGTAAAGAATCCCAAAAAGACCGTACAGTTCAGAGGCATTAACTTTTATTATAAAACATAGGAAAGGAAGAACAGAATTAACCAACAAGAGCAAATGACAAACACAAACTTAACGAGACAGACTTGTCGATACAAAGTACGTATAATCGGTGGAAGTGGTGTTAGTTCGAAAACTTCCGGTTTCAACTAACTGGTCGACGTCGATGCAAACGAACGGTGCAACCAAGGAGTAGATCGATCCTGGAAGTAAACGCGGCTCGTACTGGGTCAGACGTTTTGATCAGCCACCGCGAAAACCTACGAGAATTACTCTACGCTCTCACGTTCACCTTAACCCGGAACTGATCCGTTTTTCTCCTTGCAATACCTTCGTTTCTTCGATCGCTCATACTTTCTCTTTCGGTCTGCCCATTTGTGTGCAATACCCCCAACGCCTGGTACTGTATAGGGATGAGAAATTAATTGATTGACCTGGTCATAGACCAAAAGCGAGCAAAAGTTAAATTCGTATTCTCCACGAACGGTCGTTTGTCTTTTTTCGAATTTAGATATAAGCCTGCAGGGAAGCGTCTAACTTTTCGTCTCTGCACAGTACTCCAGACTTTATGACATAGTAAAGTTGTAAATTTCTTCAGACACAAAAACAAGTACGTATCGATTGCCGAAACAAGCTAGCAAGAAGGGTGCAAGACCAAGTCGTCGAAAGATCGTGTAGTAGATGTCATATCTACCTAAAGGCGAATAACTCGAGGAATATTGAGAAGAAAGTCTTGCACTCCCCTTTGACCCCTCTGAAGAAATTTACGACCTCGCTATATCGCGAAGGCGGTACGTTCTAAGTCACCGTGTCTATTCCACCGACTATATAACGAGAAATGGCGACTGCTCATTGATGGCCACTGTAGTCGGGCTGCGAAGGCTGGAAGTGGCCCTGTCCACCGACTTGCTGCTGATCGTATCCACCGTGGCCCTGATCGTTGACGGTGTAGGAGCTGTAGCTGCCCGATTCGTGAGCAGAGTGGTCGGAGGAGTCGTAGCCACCGCCGCCGCCGCCGCCTCCACCCTCGGATTCGCTGTACGCCTGATATGGAATCGGGTGCGGTACCGGGTAGTAGACAGACTTGGTAATGGCTACCGGGTGTGGAACAGGAATCGGCTGCGGTATTGGCACTGCCTTCGGCACCACCACCGGTACTTGCTGGTGAACAGTGATCGGGACTGGCTTGGGCACCTCGACCGGCAACTGTTCCTGGACTTTCACTAGCTTCGGGTACGGAACCGCGATAGGATGGTTCACCGGTACCGGAACTGGTATGTGATGGGGCACCTGCGAACGAAGAGAAAGGAACTCTAGATCGATCGGAAACAACGTCGATTCGGGCGACCAGAAATCTTCCGTTTCACGCGCCTCGGGGAAAGAGTCGATCGACTATGCAGTCACGTACGTCGAGTTACTCCAGATTGGACAGCGTTCGGGTGCTTTCTACTATCGATGCATTAGTCATTTATTTATTCAGTTTACGGGCAGAACCCATTTCGTATACAGAAATCAAATAAAACGAACGGAGAACGCGCGCATAATGGCGTGCAGAAGTTTCCGGCTAGATCGTATTTTCACTTTCCCTACCAAAGATGGAACTTAATAAGATTTGATTTAAAACTGCACTGTATTTAAAGAAAATAGGTCCTTTTAGTACGCACCTTGACCGGATACGGCACTGGAACCTTGACGACTGCCGTTTTGGTGACCTTGATGATCTTCGTCGGTATTTCTTTCAGATGCACCGACTGCGAGATAAGTTTTGGCTCACCGCCGCCGTAGCCATGGCCGCCGTAGCCATGGCCTCCATCCAGGGAGGATAAATAGGAGGCCCTCGCGACGGTCACGGCCAGGGCGAACAAAAACTGCAAAGTTCCAATCACGCCATGAAGAAGGTTTGTCGAACCGGACAGGCAAAGGGGCAAACAATAGGAACGCGATGCTCGTGATCTAAATTGTTAGTCACGCGATTCAAAGGATTAAACGTTGTTCAAATTCGAGAAGAGAGCCGTTCTCTCTCAACACGAGCAATCGACGCGGCGAGATCTACTTTCACTATCGATCGATATTCGCCACAATGTAATCTGTAGCCATCGGTGGCAACGATCATCGAGTTTGATCGAAGTACTTTCGCCGGGAAGAAAAATTAATCCCGTTCCACGATCGATAAGAGAGTTGACCCAATAGTTGATCGCTCAGTGAAAGATTTTCAACACTTAATTATTTCATTCTTTCGGTAACCACGATTGGATAGCAAAACTCTGTTGTACAAAGAGACGCGGGTAACTACACTTCTCTAAATTTCCGATTTCGTCCGAACCCGTCGTGGCACTGGTGTTACACCTTCACGAAGTTACAAGATCAAAGAGAGAATAATGGAGGGAAACGGAAATCCGTCGAAAACAGAGTCTTCCGGGTCTCGTTCAACTTCCTAGTCGATTTCGAATCAATGGTGAACTTACTACTCGCAACATCGTTATCCGGTTCGTTGGTATAAGAGATTAGGTGGTTTCGATGGGACGAATCACACTGACAATTGCTGTACCGGCAGTTGCTTATATACGAGGACCTTCACCGTCGTCGATTCACGAAGAAAGCACTCTCTTTCCGACTGGCTTGCGTTCTCCGATCTCGTCTCCGCTTCTCCCCTTTTTTTTTTTTTTTCTTCCTCGTTTATTCTCCCGTCGACTCCGGAGTTCGACGACCGACGCGAACGTACGGTCTTCGTTTCCGAGCTCGATTTCAAGTGCAATCGAAGCCCGATCCTCTCCGCTGGCGCATCCTCCTTCGACTGAGCTCTCAACCGAAGAAAATGTTGGTCGTTTCGTAACTGACCTCGTCTCCCAGCTTCCCTCGGTAATCCATGTGCCTCTTCTTTGATCCGATGTTCCAGATACCGGTGATCAATGAGTCTTCAAGTTTAAGATCAAGTCGTTTTCTTGCACAGTCAGACTCGACAGGATTTGCATCTGTTAGAAGCTTCTTATTAATTTCCTGATCGAGCAAATTTTTCCATTTCTCTACTAGTATTTTTATAAACGAATAAAAAGCATTCGAAGGCTCCGCGGTTAATCGAGGTACCAGCGTACCGATATTCAACTTTTGTAACCTGTTATGTACTCGAGGCTCAGCTCCGCGTTGAAACAAATCAAGAAGATATATATCTGAGAGTTCGGAAAAAACATGCGTCGCCATTAGTCTCGCCAATGTCCAACATCCTTTCCTGTTAATATATGGAGCCATCTCGAGCAGATCAGGGTAGTCAACACGATTATCGGGTGAAAGCGCAGTCTACCGTGATCACACGAGCCCAAGATGAACGAGTGGCGTCAACGAGTACTCGTTTAAACATTTGCGATTGAATTCTTAGCTGTCCCGTCTGGTTCTGGTAAGAAACGGTTGCTTTCTTCATAATGGGGTGTCATCGTAAGCAATGGTGGCAATTACGCAATATCGTATATTTCACGCGTGACGTTTCACGATCGTTCGTGCGTTCCACGCAATTTACACGTTCGGAACCCTGACGGGCAATCTTTCGAAATTAAGATTACGATGCCCACGCACGCGATGCAAAATGGAAGCTGTAGGATCCTGATCCCTTAAAATCATTTCTATTTTCTTTGGCAACGATGGCTCAAACGCTCGCTGTATGTGTTTCGCAGTTCTTAACTCTGATTAAAGTTAACGTTACCATTTGGTCGGAGTATAATTCGTCCCATCCGATTAAAGGGCAAGATAAGAGATTCTCTCGTTGGGCTTATAACGGGTTAAAAATGTTCTTTTCAGAGACAACGACAACGTGGTGTGTTCTCGCGCGAGTGCGTACGAACGAACTCGTAGCATGGAAAGAACCAGATGATCCAGATTAGTCCTCTTACTTTGGACGTTCTTTCAGTCTCTGAGCGGTAATCCTTTCACCGTTCTCTCCCCGGCCGTGAATCGTCTCAGCCGGATCGCGTTTCGGAATACCGATTACTCTCTCCATTTTTATAACAGGAAATCGTACCGCGAGACCGCGTACGAAACGTTACTTCCTGTCGCCGTTCCTTCGATCGCCGAGTATCTGAGAAGGAAGTACAGATAAAGCATTTCACGCATTGCTGTTTAACAATTCGCGCTCGCAAAAACATCTTGTGTAACAGAAACGTCTACAACCGATCTTTAAAATGTTCTCGTTAAAAGTGGCGAACGAACCATGAAAGATGACTGAATCACAGAATTTCATTTCAATTTTTATTGGTATCCGAGTTTATACCGTTGCTTCTACAATTTAATTACTGTAAAAGTAATCGCTAGAAGAAGCAAAGAAACGTCAGTAAAAATGATCTAGAATTCGATACGTTCCAGATTGCAAGACACCTATTACAAGATAGATATCTCAAGCGTCCTATTTGGTACCGGTATGTCAGTTTCTCTTCATGAGAAGCAGAGTAAAAACTTGACGGTCACGTGCAAACTTCAGTGAAGACGACGTGTCGAGGCAAGCATCGAAATAGGAAAAAGAAACTTCGAACATCTCCGACAAAATGAAATCTTCCCCCGTAACTTGGAAACATCTAAACTCACGTTTGCCTATCGCCATGAGAGCGACTCTGCTGGACATTTTCTCTCATTTTGAGGCGATCGATTCCTGAGAGGATCCTCGATCCTCCGACAGCCTGGGTGTGCCAGTTTATCCGATCACGGAGCAAAAATGTCGGATTTAATCGGTATCGGTCCTCTCGTAAGGGCGGCAAAAACCGGTTCAGTAAGTCACAAAAGCAAAAGTAATACTATTATTTGTCCAGCCTTCTTTCTCCTCTCACTTTCGATGAAAGCTAGCAATACCGCGCCAAAACGTACACCAATTGATCTCTCGTGCGGAACGAGATCAAAATTCGCAGCTGCTTCCTTTGGAACGAATCTGACTTAGATCGTGCCACTGCAAAACGAATGCAGTCATTTCTCTAGGCCATTTAAATAAATATACACGTATTTGTCTAAAGTAAAGTCGGCGAAGAGTTTCCTTCTGATGTCGGAATACTTCCGCGGTTTTGACCGTGACAAAAACTCATAGACACATACGATGAACTCCGCTTGTTCTTATTTTGTTAGTTTCGTTTTCGCGGGAGAAAGGCAGAAAGCAACAAAAGATACAAATCGAAAACGACACATCGAAAGAGTGGGCTGTGAGAGGGAAGGTCCACGAGTTTAACAAACCTGAAAGCGATAACGGTATCTGTATCTAATCACATAGAATGCCATCAAGAAACACAATATAACTTTCGTTCGGCCGTTCTTCCGACCTTTTTCAGTAACACGACTGCTCTTAATAATTTCAGACGTGTCCGTCGTGAGCAAATACGTTCCTCGCGAAAGAGACAAGCCGTCTTCACGGTTGAGCTGTCAAGAAAGCAGCGTAGGCGTAATTAAACTTTTACAAATAGGAAAAAAGCTGATTCCCGAAGCATGAACGGATAGATTCTACAAGATCGAGAACTTTAAGGTCCTGGAGTCAAACCAGACGAACCACTTAACATTGAAAGTGTGATAAATTTAATATTAAAGCTCAGGTACTCGCGATAAAAATGTTTGGTGAAACTTCGTACAGATAGGCGAGTATACGCGATAACAAAATCCAGAAGTAGTTTGAAAGAATTAATAATATGTATAACTTTCGAAAGCAAATTGAATTCAAATTAAATGAATCGACTTCAGTTTCTCGATCTGCCGAAAGATACGTAGAAAATAACGCTTGCGGCGAGTGTCGCGGATCGTCTGGGTGAAATGCGTACCAATTTATGCAGAACATAACGAAGATAATTAAGCCACGAACGGGAGCCTTTTCCTTCCGCGTAGCAAATCTTGCATCTTATGCCAGCGAATGGATAACTATGATATCCACTCGTTTAATGATATTTTTGCTAATGACGTGGGTGCAGTCGCGTTTGTCTGCAATTTATGATACGTTCACTCTCACCGCAACTTGCCTCGCCGCGATCTTGATTTCTGTCATTAACGATAAACGCGCTGTACTCTGAATCCTTTCAACAAACTTGCAAAATACTCGACAATGTTAACTGTGATCGTTGACATCAAAACTGAACCAATAAATCGGTTTCTCAACAATCAACTTGCCAGCTATTGTGCAACACCTATTTTGTACCAGAAAGTATTCTAAATAATTGTTATTGACTTTGTTTCAAAGTTTCGATAAGATCCAGAGTGCTGGTGATTCATGCACACCGAATCTTTGTTCGTGTGTCTTCCAATGTGGTAGAAATATCGCGATAAACTTAATTTTTTAAGTGGCTCTAGAAGAGAAAGTCAATTGGATGTTAACGGAGATCATTTTGAATACTTTCTAAAATAAAATAGGTATATATTTGTAATGAAATACGTGAATCTTACGAAGTTTATTTTCTGCTACGCAAACGTAATTTTTATTATACAATGTATCTAACGAGCTACGTTAATGGAACCATATCATTTCGTACAGAAGAATGTAATAAAGTAGTCGCCTACGGATTTTAGCTTTGAATGTTGATAACCCACTCTTGGCCAATGACACTTTTCTAGCAATAATCAGACTTATAGGTATCATGCTTCCTCTCCGATTATGTGTGAAGCAAAAGCGTCATTGCTCGATGGAAACCACGTGAAGGTGGTGGGTTCTCTTCCATCAGGACGGGGTCAGGAGAAAAAGGACAGATGGAGTCATTTTGAACAACAAGTTTTTAAATTGGGTCTAAAAAAAAGGCCATCTTGAGCAAGGAAAAAAGACAGAGGAATTCACTACGATCGATAGCTCCGAAAATAAACAAAGATCGCGAACTTTGGGATTACGTATTTCTTTTATAAATTCGACAACTTACACACTCTCTTTTAATTTCAATTTTGGTAAAATGACCGACTTCGAGCAGAGAAAGTAATCGATTTAGCATGCAGCGAGTCGTAGGTGCATAAATTATAGACGGATCTACATGGCCCCTACGTTCTGGCAACCTTTTACTCGCCTGTTCCAAGCAAAGTCTCCGCGCAGGCTGCAATTGCGACGTTCAGAACACACTGTTACTTTCACCCTCTTATTAACAGATAGAGCCACCATGCTGTTCAAAATTGTGAATTCGAATTTAGTTCTAATCGCAAAAGTTCTCCATACTGCATCGATATAACTTGATAAATTTAGAAAGATGAACAAAATTTATAATGTAAAAACATACGACTAATAGGAACGTGTTTTAAAATTATCTTAATTTTTTTCTCGAAACTGCATAGGAATTCGAGGGTATGTCTGTTCACCAAAACTGATTATAATTGACCCCTGCAACTGAAAATATTTTTTCCAGAACGTTTTGAAAATTTTTTTTTCGCCGAAAAATTGAGGTACATACGCGAATTTTTTTCTCGAAAATGGGTAGGATTTCAAGGGTGTGTTTATTCACCAAAAATGATTATAATGGACCCCTCCAACTGAAAATATTTTTTCTAGATCGATTTGGACAAATTTTTTTTCGCCGAAAAATTTAGGCACTTACCCCCTGTCGATTTTTCTTAGAAATTCGTTTTTGATTTTTAGTCATTTTCTTTGACGTCCTACAGAAAAATTGACTAACACTTTTTTGTACGTACTCATGAGCTTTACTTCAGAAAAAAGTTTCATTGAAATGTACTCATTATTGTAGGAGTTATGGCTGTTTGAAAATTGGACCATTTTTATGGGGTTTTTCTAACTTTATGGGGTCAAGTAACAACTTTTCCAATATTGTTAGAATTTCTGTATATTCTTTACCAAAATACGCGTCGTTTCTTTTTTTAAACATTAAAATCCTCCAATCCGTTCAGGATTCATGATGTTTTGAAGATACACATGACATTTCAGTAGATTATTCCTGGTCAGATATATTTTCGTTCATCACAAAATGTAGAAACAAGTCTGTCTAGACTCCAGATACGTCCATAATGCTAGACATTTCGATCGAGCATCTTCGCCAAGGTTACGAACCCACCTAATATCCATTCGAGAAATATCATTGGATTTTGAGCATTGTAATTCATCACTTTTAACTATGCTATCCATTACACTTAATTTTCTGTTGTTAAGAGAGATGTTAGGGAGAAGCTAGAAAAAAAAAACTCCAGTCATAATGAATAATCAAGGCATTTCGAAGCGTTAAAAATATTCAACGATTCCCCACAAAAAATGAACTGGCCAAAAAAAACACCTGGCAATTGAATTCCTGGATCGACAAAAAATAGAGACTAACAAGATCGACCTTACCTTAAGAATAATAATTCGACGATATTCGCTCGCTCGTGATACATATTTTGGGATATGATTTTATATTTATCTAAAATAAGACGAAATTGTATTATGGTTGCCTGTTTACGCGATTTCGCGTGCTGAGACCCACAGAGAATTTTAGGATGAAACAAACCAGCCGACGCAACGGGATCCGGGTTTTTATACGACGAGAAATAATGATCGAACGACCAAATTCTCTCACGAGCAATTTCGGCTGACAGTAAATGCACGTTGCAGAAATCTCGTTCTGCCACGAGCAGTCGTCACGGAAATCTTAACTGGCGGATGTACCTAGCATCGAAATAACAAATTCCTACTTAAAAAATGCTTCAACGCCCCGTTTTAGAAACGAGTTTTTATTGAAAAATACTCTTACACTTTCTGAGAAATGTCTTCGTTCGAGGATTTAGTAATGTAAAACGCCATTAAAATTAGTTCGAAAAAATTACGACACGACTCCCAGACGATCGACTATTTCTCGCAGGCCAAGGATAGGAGGTTTTCATTGATTTACAATTTAAATTCTCCGCGGAGATATTTATAGTTGTTAGCAGGTAGAACTGTAAAAATATGATACCCAAACTTATGTCTTCGTAGACTAGAAATGTGAATAACATTTTTGTAGAACTTTTGTAGAAACGAGTCTTCTCGACTGTTAAGTTTATTTGATTGTAAAGACATTTCCTCTTGAGTCTTTCTTATATTTGCTTATCGTTTGCTTGACACGAGACTGCCTAACACGGTCATTATTTATAACGTACGATCTGCATAAGTGGTGTAACCCGTATACTAAATAAATAAATAAATAAAAGACGGTGACGCAACGGTGGCTGTCACGAAATGAATCGATACGCGTGGCTGTTAGAGAAAGGAGATCGATCCGATGCACCCGTTCGAAGGCGCACAAATTACCCGTGCCCGGTGGCGACGGTCCATTAAACCTCACAGAAATTCGTTGTTCGTTATCCGAATCCTTTAAAAGCTTCCTGTCCTCTTAACGAGGCCCGATAATGGGCGTGTGCGCGTTCAAGGGACGTCGAAAAGGGAGAGTTCGAGAGAAAGAGGCGGCTGGGGATCTGCATAATCATCCGCGTTCCTACCGATCCCAACGAAGCGTCGAAAAAAACGCTGCAAACGCGAGAAGAAGAGAGACGAAGCTGTACCAATATCGTGAACGAACGAAGGAATTCTGTTTTCTTCGTCGTGTAACACACGGATGTCACGCAACACCAACACAACGGAGGGCTCGCTTTGGAAATATTTCGGAACATCGTCCGGGGAGAAGGCCTTTAAGAGGAGTCAAATCTAGTTCTACCAATGCCACAGGATTGCGAAATAAAATGGAGGGAGCATCGATCGGGTATAAAAGGTCGAAATATCATCGGGATGATGCTCAATTCCTTATCCAAACACCATACGGACACCATGAGGCTCCTGTTGATCGTTCTGGTAAGAGTCCTCCTTCATCGACTCCCTTGAAAAGTTAGTCCAAACAAGATAGCAACTCGTTCGAATATTCTTTTTATTTAAATTTATTTAGGAAATTACAGTTCACTACAGACGATCTTAATAATTACATCATTGTGTACCGTTAAATGTTCCTGCTTCTGATTCTAATGTATCGTGTGAATAGGCTGTTAGATCAACTTGAGACTTAAAACACATGCTCGCGTGTATGTCCAAAATAATTCGAAGCGTATTTCAGACCTGCCTGGCGGTTGCTTCGGCCAAACCCACGGAAAAGCAAAAGAGAGACATCCTACCAGGAGATCCTCGCTATGGAACCGAGCACGATCACCTCCACGGCCATGACAGCGTGGTAGAAACTACAAAATCTATCGGTGGGTATGCTTATAGTATTCCAGGCACCTCGTTTCAGTTACTTCAAGATAATTATGGACTCCTCGGCTATGAACCAGGTACTCCTTACAACAACGTGTACTTGTCGACGGTTCTCGATGCCAATCGATACTCCACGCCATTGTCAACTTACGGAATATCCGGCACTGTACAGGTAACCCTGATAAATCTTACGAATAGAAATGCACCTCGAAAGGCAAACGCGAAATTTTACGTCGACGAATCCCTGTACAGATCCCTCAACTATCCAAAACCGTTGTGAGACCAACCTTCTTGGAGACTAGGAAAACATTCTCGGGCGCGGCTATTCCAATTACATCCATAAAGGTAAACGCGTGTTTCATCTATTTTACGATCCCGTAATAAGAAAAAGAAAATGCTACTTTTCTTAACGCGCGTTGCTATAATCGCAGACGGTGAATGAATCGCCGCTAACAACCTCCTACGGAACTCCTGTGTTCGACCAGTCTAGAGTAAGTAAACTATTCTTATCTCGACAAATGCATACATCGACATTGAATAACTTTTTCGATCGTAACGTTTCAGGCCTCCTTCGGAACCGTCTCCGATCCTACGATCAAGACGATCAACGCCGAAATTCAAGGCCAGACGGTGCTGAACGAACAACCATCGCTCGTTCAAGGTAAAAATTTTGTCGAATTTTCCAACGAACAAAAAACCACGGAACGTCGAAATGGAAGACGCGATTGCGAAACGTTTGGGTTTCGAAACATTGTCAATACATTTAGGCGGTTAGCGAATTCGCGACAGCACGATGCATAGAAATGTATTCCGAAAATAATTTATGCGGCTAAAATCCTCGACGCCGCTTCCTCGAATGCAAATCGCGGTATTTTTAATGTCCTAATTTACAAGAATCCTGTCGTTTCGTGCCGTGGCTCTCTGATCGTAAAAATTAAGATCGAAGACTTTTCGAAGGACTGGCAAGGACAACTTTTTTACAGGTCTTAGGGAATTCGAAAAGTCTTCTATTTCTTTGATACAATTTGTGTAAACTTACTAATTTACAGGATATACTGGCTTCGCAAGTGGAGTGAATGTCCCTTCGGTTACCACCAGCGTAACGAAAAATCTCGTCGGCGGGACTGTGGTCGGCGAAAGGTTGCCTACCGTGTACAATACCGAAGGGCTCGTCAATGTGCCTGGTTATGAAATCCAATCGCAAAGGCCCTCCATCTACACCAACTATCAACCCGCCTACAACGCAGCTTTCCAAACCGGAGGAATTGGGTTGAAAACCGTGCAAGTTAACGTTCCAGCGCCGCTTCCTCTGACTTCCGTACAGGTCACGAAGAGCGTCCCGACTACCTATGCAATTCCAGTTGCCGTCGATCTCCAGAGAACGTACGTCCAGGTTCCGCAAACACTCACACAGATAGCCCAACGCGTGCAACCCGTGCAACCCCTGCAACCCGTGCAACCTCTGCAATCCGTGCAACCTGTGCAACCCGTACAAAACGTACAAAACGTACAAACCGTAAAAACCACGGCGTCCGAGCAGCCTATACGCACCATCCAGACCGTAAAAACGGTGAACGAGGTTCGTTATCCGTCCGTGAAACCCCAGCAGGTTCCTCAACATCCTGTCCAGACCGTGTCATCCGTCACCTCGGTGCCTCCGGTTACCACAGTACGCTCTGCGGAATTGCCACAGGTGAAAACATTGGAATCGGTGGCATCGCTTCCTGCCGTAGAATCAGTGCATAGCTATCCGTCTGTACAAACCTTGGAATCTGTAACACCAGCTGTCCAATCCGTGCAGAACTATCCGTTCGTGCAAACCTTGGAATCTGTAACGCCATTGCCTGCTGTCCAATCCGTGCACAGCTATCCGTCCGTACAAACCTTGGAGTCTGTGACGCCATTGCCTGCTGTCCAATCCGTGCACAGCTATCCGTCCGTACAGACACTGGAATCTGTAACGCCATTGCCTGCTGTCCACTCTGTGCAGACGTTACCTTCCCTGAAATCCGTGGGAACGATAACGTCCGTGCAACACCGTCAGCCTGTAGTCGACTTCGTATCGACGGCACAACCCGTTCATCCTGTGCAGTCCGTGGACGTCCTGACGCCTGTCCGTCATCCTGTGCAATCCGTGAACGTCCTGACGCATCCTGTGCAGTCTGTGCAGACTGTGACCAAAACTGTCCCGACGATTCAGAAGAACGTGAACGTTCAAGTGGAGAGAGGCCCGATAACCGATTTCTTCGAGAACTTCTCAGCTAACTTGCCCTCCTTGCCCTCCTTGCCTTCGTTACCTCAGTTACCCCAGTTACCCCAGTTACCTTCGTTGCCCCAATTTCCTTCGTCGACCGTTGCCCCGGTCGAATCGTCCACCCTACAGGCCGTCCATGTATCCAACGGCGTCGAAAAGGACTCCATCACGGTCGATAACCCATTTTTGCGCGGCGAGGTGTCTACTCATGAGTATGTCCAACCGACGGACGTCAACGGCGGATATATTTATTGAACGCGGCTTCTCGAGAAGTTATTCGTAATGTAAGTCGGAGGAGATTAGGTTAAACGAAGCGAACGTTACCAAGAGGAAGATGTAGAAGAATGTTGTCGCTACTGACTTATGAGATGATCTAATCTTAGTATATAGATATAGTTTCACAACCATGCTATTCCATGTCTAATTAAGTTTCTTAATTAGACTCCATTTCGTGCAGGTACAGACACAAAACGCAAACATGTAAACATTGTAAGTAAATAAATTTCTTTTATTACAAACATTGGATCGGCCTGTTATAATCAGATTCGAAATACTTCGATTTTACCGCCGTTTTATAGAATCGAAATGTCCCAAATCCCATTACTGCCCGTCAACTCTCGAACGTACTCGAACCGCAACGTTTCGATAACGAAGACTTGAAAACAATCATAAAAAACACTTGTTGCACGCGCGCAACCGTGCAATAGTCAGTAAAACTCGCATATTTCACACAATATTCTGAAAGAAGGAACAAAGTCTGATTAAAATCGTCGTTACCACACACGACATTTCTCAGCAGGATTCATGTTCGATCCCGCGGGACACTTCCAAGCCTTGCTGAATTCCTTGGAGTTCCTCAACACCCCGTGAAGTCTCACGTGTCCGGGGCAATGGGTGTCTTCCAATATCCATTTCAAAGATATTGGTGTGTATGCCTCGCACCACAACTACAGTCAATTAAAACGTCAATCTATTATTCCGTTGAGGACCCTTTCACGACATTTGCATCATCAATATTCATAGTGGATTACTTAATTTATTATGAATTTCATTTTCGTCCAAAGGATAGAGAACGTTTTTGTTGACAAATGACAAAACCGCATTAACGATACATAAGATCAGGTAATCTTACGTGCGCGAAACTGAGGAAAACGAGCTGCTCGTGAGTGAGATGAGTGAATCCCGGAAGCAGAAGCTCCTGACCGTGCCTAGCCTTCCATCTCTCGTAAGCAACGACAGCCTCTCTAAGGCCACCATTGTCGGCTATATTCTCCCCCAATGTTCGTTCCCCGTCGATGTAATCGTCTACCTACTCGAACAGGCTCGCGGTTAATCTGTCGTCATCTTGTGAACAGACACAACTATCGTTCGAAACCCCGATAGTGACGAAGATGTACCACCTCGTTTCGAAACAAATTTCAAAACAAGAACCAAACGAATTACTGTACTTCGAAATAGCTCACTTACCTCTTTTTCGTAGTAGCTGCTATAGTGTTTGATGAAGCACTCGGTCTTCTCGGTATACTCGAAAATGGTTTCATTGGTCCACCATTGCCTCACGTTTCCGTTACTGTCGAAGTGTCTGCCATTGTTGTCGAAACCGTGTGTCAGTTCGTGGCCGAGCACCGTACCTAAAGCGCCATAATTCAAAGCCCTGAAATCAGAGAAGTCCTAGAACCACGAGTCTGGTTTTCATATTCGAAACGATGTAACGATCGATGCAATTGATTCTGATCTTACTCGATACCCAATTCGTAAAATGGAAATTGAAGAATTCCAGCTGGTATAGCTGCATGTGTGTTTAAAGAAATGAAAGAAACGATTAAGCCTATTCGTGACCATATTTAATATTCTAATTAAAATCAGGATTATTCTATACAATTTATTGTTAATATCGAATCGCCACGTACTTATGTGATTGAACTCGTAGGTGTGATACGCGTTGACGTCTGTTGGATCGGTCGCCCAACTGAAAAAAAAAAACGAACGAAAACTCGGAAAATGTTGCACATTCGTTGTATCCTATGTTAGTATTTAAAATAGCAACGCACTGCAAAGCATTGTCATAATTGACGCGATGAATGCATTCCAATTTGGACACTGACATCAGACGGACAATTTGAATCATGTTGTTCAGGTATTCCGCCTCCATGAGGTCTATCTGAAAGTACGCACATTTCCAAAATCGATTAACGGTCGTATATTCAGAGAATTGGTAAAACGATGATGAGTTTCTTACGCCTTCGTAATAATAATTAAGGACATCTTCATCGAACAGCCACTTAGGAAAGCCAATCTGCGACTCCATCTTTCTGTTTTTCTCCAGTGTCGCCGTTTTTGTTTGCTTGTCCATCCAGTCGGTGTGCGAAACCAGCGAGGCGAAAGCTTCTTTTACGTCGTTCAGCATCTCAAACACTTTTTTACCTTTATCTTCGTGGAAGGACGGGTCCACGAACAACCACGAAACCGCCATTCCTAAATTATTGCAGCGTCCATAAAATTTCGCAACAAATTCCAACAATACCGGTATTCTTTCAACCGATATAACCTTGATCTTTAAACTAACCCATTAACTCGTTCACGGTGGACGCGCAACGTAAAGACTTGGATTCGCCTAGCTCGACGTACGTCACTTTGTTGACATGATCGAGCCAGATTTTTCTTAAACTATCGGACACATGCGGTACGACGATGTCGACCACGACCCACCAAATATAAGTCTCTGAAACGAACCAACATTTTTTTCTCGAGTTCCCTGCTTTCTTGCAATAACTGAAATTTACCTAACTCTTCCTCCTCGAACGTGGACAACGCAAGAGCAACATCCTTTAGGTATTCCAAATCGCCTATCAGTATTTTATCCCTGCCGCTCAAGTCCAAAGACTCGACATCTTTGTAAATCGTCTCGATGAACGGCCGCCATAACGGTTTAGGAGTTAGAGACGAATTTGCTTCTATTACATATTCGTCGGTCAACTTTTGAAGATCGTCCACTGAGATGCAGGTTATATCCGCTAAATCCTCGTCCCATATGCTTTCATTGCTTTCGAACCGCGATAACTATAGAAACATAACCTCCTAACTAAAAAATATGACTAACTCTACTCCGTAAACTCTACTTTGTCTCGCAAATATTGGACATATCCTAGATTTCTCGAATCGATAGTAAACCTACTAGAGGATCCTCCTGTAAAGAAATAAATAAATAACCGAGAAGTACTTACATAGTAAAAAATGCTGGTCAGTTCATAGAGCGACTCGACGACTTCCTTCAACTCATTTTCGTCGGCGAACGAGGAATTATCCTTTAAGGTACAAGAATCGAGAGTTCCGTTGTTGACAACCTGCTTAATGATATCAGTCATGTACGCCACTTCTGCTCCCTTCAGCTTGGACGAACTCTCGTCTTCCTCCAACTTCCGGAAACGCGATCTGACCGAGTGCAGTCGTTTCTCCAGTTCATTGTCGCTGTGTACGATTAAACGCTGATTAGCGTCAGGTACATTTTGAGCCAGTTATCTATGAGATCGTACTTCGGCAATGGGCTACTCGTGACCGGCGTGTGTAACATCATGACGTTGGTACTAGTATTCCGGGGATCGGGAAGAACGTCAAAGCTGAAGAAAACATCCCTTCCCAGTACTTTCTTCACCCTGGCCATCTGCTCGATGTAACCACTCGTCTTCTTCGTAAATGCCGGAGGAACCGGAGGTAAATTGAGCTCTTCCAATATCTCGAACAGCGGCGTCAGGCCCAGTTCGTTCACCGCATCTGAAGAAACGAAACTTGAAATTAGAAGCGGGAGTGTTCGGACGATTTCAATCGCTCGTTCGCCAAATCTTCAAGAAAATACCAACGTACGCACGTCCATACAGCTGTTGTACAGTATTTTAGCCTGCTTCACCGACCATGGAGCATTGTTATCGGTGATGTTCTCTCGAAGAAGTTCCCGAATCTTCCTCAACATTCGTTCTCTATGCTCCTCGAACCACGAATTCGATAGGCTGTTGTCGGGCATAGGGTGTTCGTTCGACCATTTTCCGCACGCGTACCTAAGTGATATAGTTCTATAGTATAGTATAGTAATATAGACACGCATATACTTACTTATAAAAATCGTCGCAAGGATCTACAGACGTGTCCATGGATTCTTTGAAACTAGCCGCTAGACAAACAGAAGTTTTGTTAAAGACTGCTTTCATTGATTGTCTTAATAGTACGTGGGTATACTTTTCTTAATAAAAATCATTGCTAATCATTTACTCACCTATGCGAACACAGTTCTCAGTCTCGCATAGCTTTGCCTGACTGTACATAAAGTCTATAAAACAAGACAAATGTAAGACATTTTTATGCAAGCCAATTGATGCGAAAGTAACTTCATTAACCAGTGATAAATATGCAAAACTCATACATACATGAAACTGCAAGCACCGCCGTCATTATCAATAAGAAAATCATCAGGAAAATCAAGAAAATCATAACCAAATTCGGTACGTGTCTTCGTCTCTTCAGGCTACAAAGAATACAGGGTATAATTATGATGTCCGGACAGTGAACGTAATTTTTCACTTACTAAGCGTGTCTAGATCTTATTGGGACCAGATTCGTGTTGCTGGCGACCGTGTAAATCGACTGCGTCTCATCTTCTGAAAAAAAGAATAGGTCGTCAACGTGGAAACGAAACTATAAAACCAACGTCTGCAACGGAAGTAAGGTTAAGAACTCTTCGGTCAAAAACACGAAGACACTTGGTTGTAGCGTTAATCTTCGGATCACTAAGACTTTAAGAAAACAAATCGTCCACAATTTTAACCTACAAAATATTTCAAACGAAAGAAAACAAATCTTTCCCGCGATAATATTTGATCACGAAGTTGAAAGATGCGAGAGATCCAAACGACACACGAAAGTAAAGATTGAGCAATGGAGGGGGGACTGTTTAATACCGATCCATCTCGTCAGAGGACACTGAAACTCGTATACGCTTTTCTATATGAAACTTTCCACTCTATCTAATTCTCTTTAATTTAAGAGGGGTTTAAGTAAATAGTACCCTCTTTAAAGAATTGATTCTTAAATCAAATCGTGATATTTGTTATTATGCAGTGCATTAAATGTAACAAAAATAGTTGAGCTCTAGTCACAAATTTTTCATTGGTAGTGAATGCAGAAATAATAATTGTGCATGATCCGGTGAGAGCCTGCATCTTTTATCTATTAAAATATTTTTATCTAATGAAAGTAAACGTTCTGAAGACACTGATAAGGTAACAATTACCAAGTACTTCTCTGGAATGATACTCAAAGTCGGATATATTGGCCTGTGCTATGGTCAATAATTTATTGGATTTCCCTCCCGAGGTATCGATAGTTGATCCGAATAATGTTTTGAATCGGTAAGCATCTCGTTCTAATGATTTTGAATAATACTTACATGATATTATCACTAATGCCATTCTCAGTATTCTTTTCGGTTGATATGATATTTGTTTGGTCGATTTCCCTCATTATCTTTGTAATACGGAAGTCTTCAATACGGAGGAAAACAAGACAACGGGGAAAGAAGAAATATCGATTATCGATTCTCAGGGAAAAGAATCGAAAATGTGTCGGTAGAAAGTCGATTAAAAAAATCGATTTTTTGACCGAACGTATCGATTTTTACAAGAATCAAATCGAAATCGAATGTGTCAATCAGGAAGCGGCAATTATAAAATATAAATATACTCACTGCGCTCCTTCATGCTGAATGGCCCACTGACCGGATCGAACTGACGACACTGAACAACCTCGAGGGACAACGGGCTATCCATACGTTCACATTTTCCTGGTCTGCCAGTGGTTCTCGTCACGACATCGTACAGTTCATCAATTTTCACCTGTGCCGTCGTTACGTTCACCCCAACCAGGTGCCTCGCCCCGTTCAAACAGCTGGTCACTTCTCTGTCAGCTATACCTTCGTAAAGTTTTAACACGTTCGTCGAGGATGACGCCATGTTGCGGCTTTATTTCCTTAAACATTCGTCCATCTCACTCGTTAGCGTTTCTGTAGTTTATTTCGCGTTCCGTTTGCTGATAGAATTTCCCAACCGAGCGTATCAATGGTGGTTTCGGTCGTATTGGCGTTGTCGCGTTGAACAGTCGCGCCATTTCCGTCTAATTGTTTTCCAGAAGTTCCTTGTTTTACCGGAAACTAAGGAAAACAAGAATCCGTCGACTTTGCATTCTATTTCTTAAGTCTGAAAATTGACTGAAATTAAATTAATGGCATCAGATGCGTAGAGAAGAAAAAGTTTTCGTAGTTTTTTATTTCGCGACAGTTCGTGCACTATAATTGCGATGTATAGAAGAAACTTTCTTTTAGGGGATTAAGAACGACCGTGAAAATTGTTGAAGACAGCCTAGCGAATCGACCTTCGCGGTAATCGACGATTTAATCATTAAAACATCCACTTCCTGGAAAGGGGCATGATCGATAGCATTATCGTTCATGGTTTGAAGAGTAGAGACTCTTTCCTAGTTACGAAAGAAACTCTGTAAAACGATCGTCTGTCTGGAATATAGTGTTCAGATCGTGACTAAGAACATAATCAAAGAAGTTAAGTAAAATTGAATTATAAATGTTTGGCTGAAACAGCAACGTTAGAAAATCCCATTTGCATAAACAATGTTTCGTCGATGTTATTTGCATGACTAAACAGCGTTCGCGCTATTTCGAATTATTCTTTGATGAAAACAATGGAATGTGGTTCCGTTCGAATACCCACGATATGTAATAATTAAGCTGTACACATTGGTTACGTAACAATTTCTAACGTCTGCGTTATAAACATTGTAATACTCGGAGAAAGTAGAGCCTAATGCGAGAGCACATGTGCCCGTCGTTAGTTCGCGTAATCGCCAAAGTACTGCATTAGTTATTCGACAAATTGTTGTTCGTGTTTCCGGACGTGGAATCGATTATCGATGCTGTTTCGTTGAGGGGAATAATCGGGCTACCGAGTAGACAAATAAGGTCAGCTTTGCAATTTATATTCGAATTTTGCATTCTAATTCGATAGGACGTTAAACCCTCGTACGGACAGTCACACGCCTCTATTAAAAACAAATTAAGCTTTCGATGAACAATGAAAAGTTCCGCGACGTTCCAACGATCGATACTGTTGTAGAAATAACATAATCGTATCGTGCAAAAGTGGGTGACATTGTGCCATCGCATGTCGGAATCGAACTCATGGAGTTCGACTTTGTTGAACTTAACGGAAACGCGCTAAATTATATTAGGTTCCGCGGATCAATCGAACGTCCCATCGTTATAGATCTTCGATCGTGTAAGTGATTGATCGTACTAAAATTTAGTTGCCGCGCTCCGACACGCTCGTTTTCAATTCAGAACGCATCTACTTTAGAATTAGCCGCGGGTAGCGAATTTGCACTTCGCTTTCCATTTTTCCGCCGCGTTCGTAGATGATTGGCAAAGAAATCGGCGGCCGTGCACCGCGGGAAAAAGTTTGCACCGAATAGTAACGACGCGGCCGGAGGGAATCGCCTAAGGCGAATTCTCTGCATTCTCCCCTCTCGATTTTATACACGTCTCGTTCGTTCGAACGACACCCGACACACCCGTTAATTATAATTAACATTTCAAAAGAATGGATGCTCGTTTCCTAGCGAAATTTAGGTAATATTCGTTTCTTTCATTATTTCTGTGTATCCAATTATTACGTAATGCTCGTTGAAAAGAACGTAATTGGACGCGCGGGAAACCCTTTCATGTTATTGAAAGCGGTTTGTACGGAGCCGTGCTCTCTCCAGCGTGTAAAATGGCCCGCGAATAACTTCGAACGTAATTTATTATGCGAGATTACGAGTGTCAGATCGATTATGCAACTGGATAAAATGCAGAATAGAACGCGACGATGGATGGAACGGTTGTAATCGACGTACACGGAAGACGAGCCGTATCGCCTCGATCGCCACGCGATTCGACCATTTTCCGGTTCGTTTGTGCGGAAATACGCTGCTCGAGGTAACTGTAGCAGAATTTCGTACGCGCATGTGCGATACGCGCGAATTGAATCCAGATTCTCTGCGTCCCGATCGAAGGATCGACGCGCATCGATCGAGAACTACGAAAGTTTGAATGTTGTACGCGTTCCGCGGCGCAGAACCCGCGAGATCCTTCGGTGAATTTCATTAAGTCCGAAGTGACTCATTTCGAGTTTCTACAATCGTTCTCTTCGTTCTTTTTTCTTTCGCGATAGTCTCGTCACACTCTGTGCCAAACCGATTTACGATTCATAACGCTTTCTCGTTGTGCAATTCTTACAGCGTCGCCTCTCGAACGGTTTTTCCTTTTATTTTTAAATAACTGCGATCGTAACGACGGTTGTAAAATGGAAACGTTGCTGCCGACGTCCTATTCGCGATCACTTTCGACCGATACCGGATAAAAAAGGAACCTAACCCAGACTCAAACGATACTTTGCAGACCTAACGTCACATTGCTAAATATGGATTAAAAATATAGTCACAGAGTTAAATAGCAGAGCAGGGCAGATTTTATTCGCGGATAACGAGCACAACTTTTCGATCGATTCGTAAACTAACTTCCATGTTTCATTTATAAATAAGATTCTATTAATGAATTTTTTATACGAATATTCAAAGTCGCGGGCAAAAGCTAGCTTACGAATGAATTGTCCGGGCGTAAAATTTGCCCGACTCTGTTCAGTAGCCTCTACCATTGTCCGAGAGGCTGAAAAGTAAACGGCCACTGTCTTCCCGAGAGTCTCGTTTCGAGTTTTTCACAACCGATTGGAAAACGTTGCGACACTTTAAATGGCGGTTGTTGCATGCGAGAACTCCGAACCCTGACGTTTCGAAATTCTATCGAGATCGTCGACTATCGTCGGAAACGAAACGATACGCCGTGTATTTTTTTCTCCCAGCACGCTGAACTGCGAAAACAATGACGGCGGGTTGAACGTTTCTGTTTGCACGATCGGTTACCCTGGATACATCGGATTGATTTCTATCGTGCAAACGCTATCGCGTCGCACACGCTCTCGAGAATTATTAAAAACGCGTGTCAATTCAAATTGATAACGATAACGTAAACAGAAGACAAAACAGTCGTTTTGGTCGAAACATTAACTGTATCGTTACTCTAATCGCAAATATGATAATTATGTGCCGTAATCGTTGCTTCTATTACTTCGAGGAAGTATTTCCGTCGCATTATAGAGACTCTTTACAGGAAACGCGTGTTCGAACGAATGCTCGTCCGCCGGGAGAAATCGCAGGAAAGAGTATAAACGAAATGACCACACCGCTGGTATTTATCACAAGACATAAAAATTAACTTTTATTAGAAAATAAATAAAAGTGTTGTTGCAGAAATATGATTGGGGGAGGAGAGTGGGGGTGGTAGGCGGAAAGAAGAGAAGAGAATATACAACGAAGGCTCCGATGTCGTGATGTCTTCTTCAATATCACATGCCGCACGAGAATTTCGACGCGATAATACAGGGGGTAAGGGGGAGGGGTTGGTGAGACTGTAAAGAAGTCGCTGCGCTCGTGTTGAATGTGTACCGTGTGTGTGTTTGCGTGTCGTATGTATAACTGCTCTAAAGAAAGACAAAAATAAAAAAATTGGAGAAGTAGACTTTTGTTTAAAGGTTGGCTGCCTGGTCTGAGGGTCTGAGGGTGGTCCAAAGCGTTCGCCGATCCTGAGTGGGCCGATTTTCGCGACTCCGCGGTACATCGTGCCTTTCGTCCGCGCGGTTCTAATTTCAGCTGGATAATACTGATCTGGACAATAGACCCGGCTCTCCTAGTCCCGAACGGATAACGCGGATCCGTTCGTTCGCTGGTGCGAGCTCCTGGCATCCCCCGAGGACGAAGGACCCGTGCCCCTCGTTGCCCCGATTCCTGTCGACGCGGTTTGCTTCGAGTGTATATCGTCTCGGGCCTCTTTCCCGCCAAGAGAATTTCGATGATTGGCCGTGGTTATCGTTGTACATCGCAAGGCGTCGCTACGTCAAGCACCTCAGGACGCGGCTCGTCCAGGATGGATCACCCTGGACCAGCGGGTTCAGTTGGTGCCGTTCCGAACCTTAATCCCAGGGATGATGGACGACGGGCTGGTGGACAGCCTTGACGACCTTCACGGGCTCCACGTACGTCTCGACACCGATCAGATGAGGCTTCACGATGCCAGCCGGGTGGTAAGGTATTCTAGTGGACTGGGCGTGCACCTTGATGTTCAGCGGCTGGGGATGAAGTGGCGGAATTGGCGGTTGCTGGGGGATCTGGATCGCGTGTATCACTTGCGGTGCATGTACCTGGAGGAACAGTTTTACGAGCGTTAATCTTCGTCCTGACGATAATCCGGATGATGAAGCGGCCTCTTCGACCGTCTACTCGCTTATTCTTAGAGGAGGATAAACTATCGACCGAGAGCAAAGGGTTAGGAAAACGTAACGCGATTAGAACGAGAACGACTGCCGATGATTTCGTTAGAAGGCTCACAGGTAGCTTGGTTCTGGCGAGAAATTCGATTAGACGATGATCGAGCGATTCGATTCCGTCTACCGACTGGGAAAGTCATGTTACGTGACTCGTAAATGACGCTCGGCATCAGACGGACCGTTAATCATGGGAAATGAGAAGTTATCGATGATGCGGTAGTCGTTACGAGGAAATCACCGGTCGGGGCTCGTAAATTACAGCGATGGTAGGAAACGATTTAGACGACCGGCTGAGAGGAACACGGAACAGAAGTCGCCAGAGCAGGGATTCTAACCGTAGCCTGGTTATCCAACCCAAAAGGGTTCGCGTTAGGGTTAGAATCCCTGGTTGCCAGTGAATCGTCGATTACTTTATCCTAAAATTATGAAACCTTATCGTCGAACGATAGTAGAGAATCCGACCGTTCTTTCCTTTGCTTCCTTTACCTGACGAGGCATTACCATTATCGATCTCGGATCATCTT